AACAGTTGGTCTGCCTATGTTGTTTTATATTTTTCCTGTAGGTCTTTCTTTCAAGAAGTATCTTCTGTTCTTCTAGCCACTCCAGGTTGGTCTGCTTGAAGAAGACATTTAATAAGGATATCCTACTCATTTCTCTTTACACTGTAGTTTGACCTAATGTATTTTATATTCTTTTGTAGTAAAACATAAATTAGATCTCTGCCTGCCTTAAAACCACAAACTGGTTCCTATCTGTCTCTTCTGTGAAAGAACACCTTTCAATAAAGTTGGACCAATTTATCATTATGCCTGTTTTTCACTTCTAAAGAGTTACTGGAGTTCCCTTAGTCTGGAATCTCAGTGTGTGAATTTTGGGGGCATCAATGACTACAGTGATCAAGATTTAACAAGCTATTTAATGCTCTTTATTTTTTGATGGAAGAAGGTATTTTCCTAGAAACCACCTGTTTCAGACCATGGGAGAGAGGTGGCAGTTGGGGTTGAATTAAGCTGAACCATACCTGGTGTGGTGCTAACTGCAGTGTCCGTAGTTCAAACCCACCAGCTGCTCCTCTGAAAATGCTATTCAGTAGGTCACTATAAGTCATAACCGACTCTACAGCACTTAACTTTTTAGCAGGAGTGTCTTCTGTTCAGAGAGATGTACTGTATTAGTGGGAGTGTCTTCTGTTCAGAGCGATGTACTATATTAGCGAGAGTGTCTTCTGTTCAAAGCGATGTACTAAAGAGTCTAGCAAAAATTCAGTTAAGACTTGATTTATATTTGCTTTCTAGCTCAGCTGATTTCTTGGACTTCTGGGATAAACATGATCATCTTTTCATGTTTCTCTAAGGAACAAGAAGAAAAAACATGCACTTTTTTTTCCCTTTTTAAATCTATTTTTCACCTCAACCAGAAAAAGTAAGAATTCAGATATAGTACTAGAGTCCTGTACTATGTGGTGCTGCAGGATAAGCAATGGACTGCTAACCACAAGGTCAGAAACCCACCAGCTGCTCCTCAGAAACTCTATACAGGGTCACTGAGTCAGAACTGACTCGACAGCACTTAACAACTAATACTGGGGTATAGAACATAGGTGAAGTGTCAGATCTGGCCAGACTGGTACCTGTACACCAGATCATTATCAAATACATAGCACAGTGTACCATATCAGCTGAAATAGCCACTGTTCAAAGATGTTTATTATTTTAGGAGCTTAGCAAAAATTCAGAACTTGAGACTTAAAATTTACAGTTCAGCGAGCCAATATGATGCTTAGCCACTAGCCATTATATGGGTGGGGCCTCTGGTGTGTAGGATCAGCACTAAACTTGGAACCACAAAGTCAGTGGTTCAGACTTACCAGCTGCTCCTCGGAAACCCTGTACAGGGTCACTATGGGCCAGGATCAACTCTATAGCACTTAAGTAACAACAGCCATTATGTAGCTATTGAGGTAAAATGAAATACTCTGTTCCTCAGTCACACTAGGCACATTTCATGTACTCAGTGGTCACAAGGTGGCTATTGTATTGTAATGTTTATCACAAAGTATTAGTGGACTTGCTGCTCACAGAGTAGGCAGCTTGGGTTTATACTAATCACATTTATGATCACTATTCAAAAAAACCCTTGCCATGACTGGAATGTCCTGGAGAAAATGAACATCAAACAGTGCATGGTATTCAACACAAGAGAACACACGTTTAAAAAGGCATTTAGTTTATTTTCAAAAAATATTTTGCTAGAAGGGTTGAGTACTGTAATATTACATAACAATCTTCAAATAAGTTCCTCTTTCTGACCAATAGGTACCAAATTTCAGTGAACAGCTTGTCTAGGTCTGTTTTGTATCACCCAAATACTAATTAGCACTCCTCTGATGGTATTCCCTAGGGTACTCTTAATTATCTACATGCCAGGAGGCAAAGCCATGCACAAAACAAAGTATGTACTTAATAATCGCTGACTGAATTCTGTTTCCACTATTAGTACACTATTTCTTGCCTGAAGGGTCTGACCCACCCAGAGTCCCTAAGGCCTCTTCTAACCCAGTAAGTAAAGCAGTGAACTCCAACTGCAGATAAAAAGAGGCAGCTCAGTTTAGGCTAAGCTGGCTAGATCCCAGGTAGGCCTATTACTGTTTTGTCCCAACTATGGATTCAAGGTGATCACTGTTAATTCATATTCAACAGTAAGAAAATGCAATGCAAAGCCAAGAAAGCAATTTGGGGATTATTGGCAGCAGTGCTGTATTTCTCTACCTTTAGAGGTTAAGTGAAGGATGATTCTCGGATTTTTTTAAAAACTTTAAATTGCTATAGATTTAATACAGAGAAAAATCACTGGACAGAAAAAACTGGAGCATGGTAAGCTTGCTGAAGGCACATCAAAAGTAGCTTTTAGTTTGAACGAAGGCTGCACTCAATCCCCAAAGCATACACCTACCTGTGGGTACTACAGCAGTGCCCAGATAGTGACTGTAAAGCATTGCCTGTCTCACTGACCAACTGCCCAGAGTCTACTTCAAAAAAGGCTGCTGCATCGAACAACTATTGCAAACACCAGGATCTTCTAATCTAGGACATTGTTAAATAGAAGTCTACATTTTAAAAAGGAGTGGGAAATTGCTGCTGAAACTAAGTTTTACTAATGGCAGAGAAGCATTTTGAACAGACTTAAAATATTCAACATTTAGGTGAAACCATGCTGTACAATGCCTCAAAAGTGTTCAACTAAGCTTTCCGTGAACTTGGACGGCTCCCCTCATGTTCTCAATGCACATAGCTGCATGTTCTGTCTACTATAGTGACCAACTCTCCTAACTAGGAGAAAGTAGCAATTCAAGCTCTGGGTATTAGTTAAGATTCTTGCCAGAACAGAATTCTGTCTGCTGCATGACCTATCAGTGAGGAAGAGCTATAGAGCTCCAAAATACAAGACCTTTTAATTAATTGACAGCCTAGTCATTTGGCCGCTTTGGTATAGCACCACCCTGAACCACCCCCAAAAAGTTACCCAGAGACCTAAGTCTTGCATACATATTTGAAACACCTCGTTTGCATAATTATGTCTGAAAACTTCCAGAACATCTACCCCACTTTAAATAGTCGTATTTCCTAATGCTGACACCCTGTCCCTGTAGCAGCATAAAGTAACTTAATCTCAGAAAAGTAATTTTAACAATATGAAATACTGACCTGGTTTTCTAGCAAAGAGTTTGAGTCTGGAGAACAGGGGAGAGGAAAGTACTGGGGCTCTTTCCCGATGTAAACACTGGTGTTGGTGCTTGGAATGTCGGGGATGGAGCCCAGCGTGTAAACATGCTCTGACTCAACCCTTGACCACTGGGCAGGCAGTCTTCTCTCAGTCTTATGTTACAGCTAATTTAAGCTGCAACATTTTAGCTTTTCATTTTCAACACATCACACCTAACTGGGCACAGATTCAAATATCTTCTACCATTTTACTTGGTGTTTTTCTGTACAAGCAAGCTTCTGAGTTTCTTACATACATATTTGTTGTCTTCCCCTCCCAGTTCAGAAAAGACACTGGGCAAGTTTAACATGCATCTTTCCTTCTTTCCTTTGCTTTCAAATATATTACACAGGGCCAGATGTAAGAAACAACACTTTAATCCTAATGCAGTTAAGTGTAGAGACAGGGCCACTTGTCTCTCCCAGGAAGACAAGGGTCTTCAGAGAAGGAAAGGATTCCTGTGCAAGTGCGTCAGATGGGTACACAGAACCCCCGGAAGGTACTGATTGTGGCTGCGACCAATCAAGAGACACGAGAAAATTCTAACATTTGCTGTGTTCCCATGAAACCTAGTTTTTATTCCCTTCCCTCTTCTTCTTTCCACCCACCTGCAAAAGACTTGAAGTCAGTTTTCAATACATAAAGTTTTAAAAGTTCATTTTTTAATGTTATTTTAAATGTCACTGAAATAGTAATGCATTTGGTAAATCTAAACTTCGTCCATATAGAGGCAACACAAGGGAAATGACAATTTGTAACTTACTCCTATAAAGGCTGAATTCTTATTTGGTTCTAAACAGACCCAAAACAGAGAAACCTAGGGCACTTAATGTCCCAGGTAACAGCCTTTATAAAATTTAGGTATTTGTTACAATTGTTAAAACCAAGACAAAAATCCCATTTGCTAAGATACTGCTTTATTGCCCCCAAAGGTCTTTTTTTTTCCATAGGAGAGCAGGATGTTGGAGAACAACAGCATCCTCTTGTTGGGCAGCAAGGTCACACTGGATTACAAATGAAAGCTTGATGACTCCCCCATTTATAGGCATTTGCTTCATCACTGTCCGGTCCTGTTTTGCTTTAACACCATATACAGTCTGTTCATCCCAGATGGTATGAGAGAACACTCATACCTTAACTCTTCCTAAAGCAGGTCCTGTGCTTACAACTGGGCCTCCATAAATGGAACTATACCAGTGAGCTTATGGCTACTCCCACTCCACTCTTCAAAAGGGAATGTGTCTCATCACTCTCCAAGACTGGTGTGGAGAGGGAAATCAGTGAAAAGTGCTTCTGGTAAAAACAAAATTAAACTGACTTTGTCAAAACTATTCCTACGTACCCTTTTCCCCCCAAAGAACAGCTATCAATCCTAGAATTATGACATAATCAATAACAGATCCTGCATTTTGAGGTTCTGGGATTAGAATTTAAACCTGTTTTCAGTTCACTTCTAACTAAGTTTCAAAAGCTGCACCAAATATACTAGGCTTTTTTTTTGTTTTTGATTTTTGTTTTTAATACTCTGCACTGCATGCTCTACCTGCATGCGTTTGGATAATAAATATTAAATATGGGGGGAACGCGCGGAATCCATAAAATTAAAAATGAAACCAAACTGAACATTAAAAAGAGTACATGGTAGCTGGAGAAAAGAATAAGGGCAAAAATAAATTTGAGGTAACAATAGTGGTCCAATGCCACTGATCTGAATAACTGTAAAAATTCAAATAAGTGTTTGGAGATTCAAGTAACAAACCATCTGCTCCAACTTGGTCAGACTTCCCAAGAGTTCCTGCTGAGTCTCAGTCCATGAGCCGGCACTCACACAGCTCCTTGTAAATCCTCTTCCGTACGCGGGGCATGTCTTCTTGTGAAAACTGGAAAGGCTGCTCTAAGGCGAGGCACTTGCAGTACTGCAAAGGTCCAGAAACACCTAAGTGCCATGTGGAAAAGTATGTGCCTGATACAGACCTCACAGGGCCTGAGGCAGCACTTAGCTACGTGCTCCAACTTGTAAACGACATTGCTTTAAAAAATTTCCCTCCAAATAGTAGTCAACCCCCATCCAATACTGGGAAAAGGCTTCTATTCCTCCCCAGGTGTAACCTGCCAAGAAGCAGCTAGACCTGACTTACACTTACTTAGAAGACCCCAGATATTCACGAGGCACAGGAGTGAACCTATCTTCTAAGATATTTTCAAGTATCTCAATTCATGGATGACAGAATGTCCTTCAGGAAATTTTTCAGTAGCCCTTTTAGACTTCTAAGGAAACCAACAACACAAAATAGCAGTTTTCTAATGTGGTCCGTATTTTAAATCTAATTACTCTGTCAAAGACCTTTAGGTTGCTTTCCAGTGGTTAAGAAAAACACAAAAAAACTGTTAGTTCTGCAGATGCCTAAGGTCTACAATATGGACAAACAGGTCAGTCTACAGTCAGCATACTAATAATCTCTTTTAAGACACAGATGATACTCAAATCTGAAAATGCTGAAACTACCACTTCTCAACAATCAAAAGGAAGAAATACCCTGCCTGGGCACAGTGCTACATACACATCACAGAGACCTCCTCCACTTCCCCACCCCCCTTTAAAGCACAAAATTCAATCAACACATTGAAAGTGCAGGAAAAACAATACTTACCTGGAGCACAAAAACCCCACAGTCACTGTCATTTTTTTGTTGTGGAATACACTGAGGGAAAAACAAAACGATCATTACAATAAGACCGAGTGCTCCTCTATAGATAAGTGGCAACTGCAATTAACAGAACAACAATTTGCTTAAATACAAGAAATAAGAAGTCAAATAAAATCCTATTTTTAAAATCTATTTGGATAATGTGTTTGGCTATCAATTCACTGTCAAAGGAATCAAAATGGAAGTGTGGATCACAGAACATATGCCTGAATTCTGAATACATAGATGGTAAAACCAAGTTTGAAGTCCTGGTATGGCACTGTGGGTTGATGTGCAGGACTGCAAGCGTGGTCTGAATTGCAAGTCGGTGGTTCAAGCTCACCAGCCACTCCTTGGAAAGCCTATACTAAGTCACTATGAGTCGGAACCGACTCAATGGCACTTAACAACAAAAAAACCATGTTTTAACATTCTTTACTTTTCATCTCATATTACATAACCCTGTTCAATCAGTTCTTTGAGAGAAGTCATGAAGGTAAGCAGACAGGGTTTCAAAAGAACTGGTCACCATATTCTGCCCAAACAGAATATGAAAGATCCTGACTACACTACTTTAGGGGAGTCACTAAGAATACTTGGGGATTCTAGCTGGGTAAATTCAGAAGATTTTCAAGTTCAGTTCTGGTTTGAGCCAGCTATACGATGTTACTTAAAACACAAAACTTAAGTTTAAAATTTAGCATTTGGTTCAGTTCAAGAATGAATAAATAGATTTTGTTCCTTTGAGTTTGGGTTAAAGGCTCATTTCAAACCTCTGGCTCTTCAGCATGTGTCAGGGATACAGACAGACAGGCAGACCAAAGTTCAAGGACCTGTCTGTGGGTGGAGGGCAGGGGCTACAACCTAGACTTCAGTTTTCTCATCTATAAAATAAAGATGTTTATCCTTAACTGGCCTGCTTACCACAGATTTGCTATGAGGATCAAGTAAGATCAGGTATGCAAATGAACTTTGAAAACTAGAAATCAATAGAAATAAGATGTAAGGTGTTTATGGCAGGATTAGGAGGCGAATTTAGGCACTCTGACCCACGTACAGCTGTAATGTCTGTGGGCCAGTGTACCTCCTGATTGTGCTCCATCTTAAGTCTTCCCCAAATGCCTGTAAAGCAACCAAGCACACTTGATCCCTTAGTGGAATCAGTCATTTCAGCATTCTTCCGGGTCTATGTGCGTCATCTGGAAATTAGAGCCAGGAGGCAAGAGACAGTTGCCACCAAACTACAACAGCAAAACCAACAGATGAAATGACTGAAGTCATCAATTTCCAGCAAGCACTGGGAAATGGAGCAGACAGATGATGACAACTACCAAACTCCAGTTTATGTGGCTCCTGAGCTGCCTCTCTGGAGCCTCCAGGATTTCCGTTGGTACCCTCATTACACTAGCCTTCAAATTGTTCTTTAGGACACCCACCCTTTAGCTGATTCCATCTCCTTGACATGCCAGGATTTTCATTTGTATCACATACTTACCTTTGTAACAGCAGTCTGCCAACCCTGAAGAAATTCCGGTCTATTTTTTTCTCTGGCTTCAGTCAGCAAATACTTTCTTATATTCTGATTAAAAACAAACCACAACACAGATTCTGTGTTCCATCAATTGGCAAAAAAATGGAAGCTGCCACAGCAGACAGACACAAAGGAGAGGCTGTGGCCCCATGATGAATTAGAGTACACATTCAAAGGTTTAAAGCCGGAACTTTATTTCAGACCTCTTTTCATATTGGGAAGGAGAACTTTCACTTTCTGTATTTGGGTTTGCACTTATACAAAGGACATTGGTATGTGTTTAAATGGAGCTTTTTATGAGATGGCCAACCTTCTCCAGCAATAAGTGAATCTGCTGCATCTGAAACATAAATTAATATTGGCAAGACAAAAACAAAGTCTGAATCACTGCCAGTGCTCAACGGAGGGAAGGATCCCATGGAAGAAATCATCAAAAACTAAAACTAAATGAAAAGCAATCCAGCTTTAGATACAGATATGAATACATGGTAAAGGTATCATTCAGTTTCTGGAAAGTTATACTCAAACTCATTCTGGAGACTGAACAGAGTCAAGGTCATGGCAGAAATCATGGCAGATGAGCCTGCTGGAGTTCCATAATGTCCCTATTGCTCTTCAACCTCTTCGCATACATCTCCCTCCACATCGAGAGTAAAGTAAGAGGTTATATGAATTAACCCCCAAACCCTTACCCCAAAGGTGGAGTAGAAGGAGAAACTACCTCTTTGAAAGAAAAAACATTTGGTGACAGTAAATAGTTAACAAGTTATAATTGCATGCTGCCTTTCTCTCACCAAACAAATAACCTCAAATTCTTGGAATATGAAGAATATGTATATTCATTAAAAAAAGAGAGTTAAAAAAAAAAAAAAAAAAGGTTTGTCCTTTAAAATGGTCACCTACATCCAATAAATCTCTACTGAGAATCTATGATGTGTCAAGTGCTGGGGACACACGAGTGAATAACGCTGCTATCGCTGCCTCTGTTTTCATGGAGCCTAACACTTACTTGGTGTTTATTCAAAACATGTCTGGCCAAATACAGATCTCAGATCCTTAAGAGCCACTTCTCTGACTCTCACATCCTTAAAAACAAAAACAGCCAAGCTCACCTGTTTTGAATGACTGGACTCTTAATAACTTTGAGCCAGCCTCAAAAACAAGTCTACTCTTAGTATCTTTTTGCAAACATGCAAAATTATCAGACCAATTACAATTTAGCTGAAAAGGTAGAGAACTCTCTGAAGGAAAGCTTGGACTATAGTTCAGAAGATGACATTTTCAATGACTGTACAGAGCCAAGTCCCAAATAAGTCATAGAAATGAGTTAGAAAACAAAGTTTTATTCAATAGTCATTTGCTCCATTAAAGCAATGTCTGTCTAGCCTGACATAGCATCCAGCACAGCGCCTGGCATAGAGCAGAGGTGCAGAATTTCCTGGATGCAGTTACCGCTGACACCTCTGTCCTCCTCTGCCTGTGAGAACCTGATGTTTAAAGGCAATGATATGACTATACTGTTGTTTGTATCTTTTTAGATTTGTCCATAGAAGACACAATGTGGATAGTCTCTGCTAGTAAGAAGGGTGTGTTGGTTGAGAGAAAAGCAAGGGAATGATATGCACTGAGACAGCAAGGTCAGTTTGAGCCACAAGATCGGTGGTTCAAACCCACCAGCTGCTCCTTGGAAACTCTATACAGGGTCGCTGTGAGTCGGAACCGACTTGATGGCACTTAACCACCACCACAACATATATCCATATTGTTAAACTAACAATAGACGTTAAAATGAATATAGAAAATCTCTATATTCTGAGACAGATTTCAAAGATATATTGAGTTTAAAAATCCAGTTGTGGAATGATGTAGCATAATACATTTATGAGAAAAATATACGAATTGTATGTGTATATATACATATATATGTGTGGGTATATGTGTATGTATATACTAATATACATCTGTATTGTTGTTATTTTTAAATGCTGTCAAGTCAGTTCTGATTCAGTGACCCTGTGTAGGGTTTCCGAGCTGTAGGTTTAAACAACTGACCTTGTGGTTAGCAGTCCAGTGCTGATCCTACAGCGCCACACCAGGGCTCCGTGGATATATAGGGAGGTTTTTAAAAGTTTATGGAAAAATGTAATTAAAAGATAATGGAATTTTTCCATGAACTTTTTTGAAGTCTCCTCATATTATGATGGAGCATATTTAGTTAGTCTTTTGGCAGACTGAAATCCAGGTTGTTTTAGATTTTTCACTATTATAAATAATGCTGCAAAGAACACCTTGGCACATGCCCCTCTTTATGTAGTTTTCTGAAGTAGATACCAAGAAATAGAACTGGTAAACAATAGGACATGCATCTTACCCCTTACACTTAGAATTGATGAAAGTTACATCTGTTCCCCCAAAGTAGCCATTTCAATTTATACACCCCACCAGGAAATAGCACAATGCCTATTTCCTCACCTATACACACACTTGAATATCAATTACTCAATGGCACTTAACACAATTTAACAGCAACATCATGATCAAATATACTGATCAGTTCCTTTGACTTTTATGTAAAGAAGTCTTCCCTACTCCAAGAATGTAGCATTTGCTCTATCTTATTCTAAATAGTATGACAGTTTTGTGTTTTGTATCTAGGGCTTTGGTTCATCTTGAATTTATAATAGTATGAAGTAAGGACATGGTGGTGGTGGTAGTGTGCCACCAAGTCACTTCCAACTCACAGAAACCCTGTATAGGATTTTGGAGACTAAGTCTTTACAGGAGCAGAAAGCCTCATCTTTCTCCTGCAGAGCGACGGGTAGATTAGAAGTATTGACCTCGCAATTAGCAGCCCAATTTGTAATCCAGTACGCTACCAGAGCTGCTTGGAGTAAGTAAGGGCATACACATTTCCAAATGGAGAGCTCATTTTCCCAATGCCACTAACTGAATGACCTATCCTTTCCCAAAGGAGTCCTGGTGGCACAATGGTTTATGTGCTTGGCTGCTAATCAAAGGCTGGTGTTTCAAACCCACCCAGTGGTTCTGTATGGGAAAGATCTGGTAATCTGCTCCTGCACAGAATATAGCCTAGGAAACAGTATGGGGTAGTTCTGCAATACGAGGCTGCTATGAGTCAAAAACTGACTAAACAGCATCTAAAAACAACAAATTCCCACATACATGAGTTATACCTAAACAGTCTCTGTGGTTCCACCAGTGACTCTTATCTAATGCTAAGCCTACACAAATCCAGCTTTTAATTATGGAAACTTTGCAACATGGTTTTACTTCTGGTGCAGCAAATAACCCTTCACTGTTATAGTTCAAAACGGTTTTCCTGTTCATGGGCAGAAATTCTACTTGAATTTAGGATGAGCTTATCAGGTTCCATTTATACTCCTGCTGGTTGAAATGATTACAATGGAAATTGGTAGATATTAGTTTGGGGAGAATTTAACTCTAACATTGAGTCTGCCTTTCTCCATCTACTCAGACTTCCTTTAAATAAGTAAATCTTTTTTTTTTTTTTTTAAAGAGTTTTCATCCATCATAAAGAACTTGCACATTTTTTGCAAGGGTATATTCTTAGAATTTTTTAACTTTTGCATATGGAATCTTTCTATTTTCAGTTATTTTCTAATTGGTTCTTGCTGGTGCAGAAAAAGTCTAGAAATGTACCAATTTTTCTATGCTGGTATCCAACTATCTTGTACAGCTCTCATTAGTTGAACACTAGTATTTTGTCAGTTGATTCTCTTGGGTTATAATTCATTCTACAAAAGTTATTTTCATGATTTGAGCTAATTTTAGCTCTAAAGAAAACAATTTCTGTGCACATCTAAAATGTAATTTTATGTGACAAACAACAATGAAAAGCTGTGACAATCTCCAAAGAGAGCATGGATCTCAGAGAGGGCTCCAGATTTTAGACAGCCACCTCTTGCCACCAGAAGATTGCTTTAAGTGCCAACATTTCAAAGAGTTTTAAGTTTGGTTTTTATGACAGAAACAGTTCCTTTGTGGTACTGATTTCTGCTGCTCTATCTAGAACCAAAATGATATTTGGTTAACCATACGTAAATGAAAACAACAACAACAACAAAAAGTATAGCAGTCTATTAACTTACCTCTACACAAAACTTAAAATGAATGCCTTGGGAATCATAAAATGATATAATTCGATTAGACAGTGTCACAGTAATGAGGGACCAATGGACTTCCAGGTGAATCGGAATCAACAGAAGACTCTTTTTAAACAAATCCACCTGATCAAGAAAAGAGAAAGAAATGCAGCCATGACCACAGGCTATCCAACCAATAACACTCAGCAGCAGCTTCCACTTACTGATATTAGACCTACCCAAGGTCATAAAACTGGGAAGCACAATGCCAGCATTTGAACCAGACCTAGTTTAAAAACCATGCTTATAACCATTAAGTTGTAATATACAACAATTAAGAAACTAATGATTGTTGTTGGTAAGTGCTGTTAAGTTGGTTCTGACTCATAGTCACCCTGTGTAGGGTTTCCGAGGAGCCAATATAACTAAAGATTGTTGTTTTTGCTAAGTACCGTGGAGTCGGTTCTGACTCATAGCAACCCTGTACAGGGTTTCCAAGGCTGCAGATCTTTACAGGAGCAGAAAGCCTCCTCTTTCTCCCGCGGAATGGCTGGTAGTTTCGAACTGCCGACCTTGAGGTTAGCAGCCCTATTCGTAACCATAACTAAAGATTGTTGTTGTTGTTGTTAAGTGCCGTGGAGTCAGTTCCGACTCATAGTGACCCTGCACAGGGTTTCCGAGGCTGTAAATCTTTACAGGAGCAGAACGCCTCATCTTTCTCCCACGGAACTGCTTGTAGTTTCAAACTGCTGACCTTGCAGTTCACAGCCCAATTTGTAACTACTATGCTACCAGAGCTCCTTAAGAAGGTATAATTTTTCATTTAACTCACTAAACCTGTGCTTATCAACAGTCTAATGTAACCTAGCCCTTCTTTTATGCTTAATTAATTTTGTTGTGCACATGTTGTTGTTAAGTGCCGTCGAGTCAGTTCCGACCCATAGCAACCCTGTACAGGGTTTCCGAGGGTGTAAATCTTTACGGGAGTAGAAAGCCTCATCTTTCTCCCGCAGAGCAGCTGGACATGGTTGAGCTAAATTCCTCAACTCTTGATTAGGAAGCTATCATAGTATTAAAAAACAGAGTAAGTTATAAGCCATCTATCATTCTACTGATTCACTAAATAATTAAGATCATGGGCTTTGAAGACAGACTGCTCAATCATTCAAATTATAGCTCTTCCACTTAGCGGTCCTATGATTTTCTGGCCATTTTTCTTAGACTCTTCATACCTTGATTTTCTGAACTATAAAATGCAGATAATAACAGTACCTAGCTTATGAACTTATGAAAACATGAGGATGTAAAATGCATAAAACTGTGCACATTATAAATAACCAGTAAATCCTACCTACTGTAGTCCTGGTGTGGCACTGTTAAATACGTACTAAACTACTAACCACAAGGTCAATAGTTCAAACCTATCAGCTGCTCCTCAGAAACCCTATACGAAGAGTCACTATGAGTTGGAATCAACTCGATGGCACTTAACAACAACGTCATTATCGTTTTTTCTCATTCAAATTTCCTAGATATTGAAATTGAAACATCCCAATCCTTTGTAAGTTCTTTACAATCCCAAATGCATTTATATATCTTTTACAGTCAAGAAATACTTGTTATTCCACTGAAAATCCCAGCTGTGGGAATGGATAAAAAAAAGTAGATGCTCAATAAACATGTAAAATATTTGTTTAGGTTTTATATAGCATATTTTCAATGATTACTTGGGTTAAGATAAGATAAAAGTCTATTTTAAACTATTACCACATCCTTAGAAACTAATTTCCCAAGCTTTCCATTTTGCTTTGCTTTCTGATATTCAGATGATATTCTGCTCTAGATGAATCTTCTATAAGACTATAGAAGATTTAGTTTCTGCATCCATAAACCTGGAGAATGAGGTGGACAGAAGGAAATAGCAGAAAGAATAGACAACTGGTTCTTTCGAGCTAAATAATCCTGAGTTCTAAAATAAAGACTCACATTTAAAGAATATATTCTCATGCTTCTAAAAAAGTACTTCTTTATTATAAAAATACTATATTGTATAAGAATTAGAAAATACAAAGACACACTTTGTTATGTATCTTTCCATAGCTCTTTCTCATTTTTACTATCTTAAAAAAACATGCTCTCTTTCGATCTCTCACACATAATTTATATAAGTAAGAATGACAAGTGTGGTGGATTGCATTATTGATGCCAATTACTTATTATCTTCCATCTAAGATCATACAGCTCTGCCTACTGCCATGTGCTTTTACTACTCCTCCCAGGGGGAAAAGTGTAGGCTCATTGTAAAATCTGCTTTGACCAATGGAATGTAAACAGAAGTGATACTATGCTATGTCCAGGATGAAGTCTCAAATGGCACCATGTAGTCCTGATCGGCATGTCTTGAGAAAACTGAATTTAAAAAGCCTACAGTTGAGATTATATTTAACCATGAAAGACTGAATTATTTCCTTTTATTGAGACAAGGCAAAGATATCCTCTCTCATTATATCTATTCAACATCAAGTCCTAGCTAGTACAATAAGGCAAGGGAAAAAAAAACCAAATCAAAACTGTATTCAAATTAGAAAGGAAGAAATAAAAATCCCATATTCCCACTTGAAAAGACATGCAGACCAGCCCAGAACTGCTAGGAGAACAGAAGATTCTTACTGAAAGAAAGACTTGCAGGAAAAAAGTGGACTATTTGGCTGATTGAAGTTCAAGTAAGCTGTTTGCTTTGGAGACAACAAGGCAAGAAAAGTCAGCCCATCAGGGAAAACTCACTTCTAGGACTGAAACTTGACGAGAACCCAGGAGCAGTCTAGTTAGTATGCTCACTAGTGACCACCTGGGTCTACTTCTGAGTGGAAGAGCAATGAAGACATGGACTGAGTTTGACCATGGTCTATTGGCACCCATTGACCTTGACATGAGACAGAGAGAAGAGGGAAGTTCCAGCTGACTGGTCTGAAGTTTAGGAAGATTTGTGAACTCTTACACCATGAGCACTGACCTAGCCCCTGGGGGTTTGGGTTGAGAGTGAAGCGGCCAGCTCGTCTTAAGTGCAGAGAGATGTGTGTAAACTCCCAATTTTGCAGCTAGTTCCCATCTGACCTAGCATGGTTGGCTAGTTGATCAGAACTTGACCCGAGGAAGCTAAAAATGTTTGATACTGTGAATTGTTACAATTTGATAAGCTAGACTTTTGTTTATGAGTGCAGTGACTCAAAATTCCAACCGGACTATAAGGATTCGTCTTATCAAGGAATAACCTAGTTTCCTCGGTGTACTGGGCTGGTTGTTGTTGTTAGGTGTCAGTGAGCCAGAACCGACTCAGAGCAACCCTATGTACAACAGAACGAACCACTGCCTGATCCTGGGCCAACCTCACAATTCTTGCCACACTTGAATCCACTGATGCTGACATTTTGCCAATCCATTTCACTGGGGTCTTCCTCTTTGTTTCTGACCCTTCATCTTACCAAACATGATATCCTTCTCCAGTGACTGGTCCCTCCTGACAATATGTCAAAAGTATGAAAGACAATGTTTGGCCATCATGGCCTCTAGAGAGCACTCTGGCTGCACTTCTTCCAACACAAGATCTGTTTGTTCTTTTGGCAGCCCATGGTACTTTCAATATTCTCCTCCAACACCACAACTCAAATGCATCAATTCTTCTACGATCTTCCTGATTCACTGTCCAACTTATGCATGCTTATGAGGTTATTGAAAATACCATGGCTTGCATCAGGTGTACCTTAGTCCTAAAGCTTCAACACTTTAAAAAGGTCTTATGTAACAGATTTTCCTAATGAAATAACTTAGTTTGATTTCTTGACTGCTGCTTCCATGAGTGTTGATGGTTGATCCAAGAAGAATGAAATCCTTGACAACCTCAATCTTTTCTCCATTGCTATGTTGTTGATTGGTCCAGTGGTGAGGATTTTTGTTTTCTTTACATTGAGATGCAATCCATACTGAAGGCTGTGGTCTTTGTTAAGTATTTTAAGTCCTCTTCACTTTCAGCAAGCAAGCTTGTATCAGGAAGGCACTCAAAATGCAACTGGGAAAGAGCTGCTTCCTCAAGTAGAGTTGACTGTGATAATGTGCAGTAAAGCCCTCAGGACCTTCATATGCTGATGGGGCACAACTCAAAATGAAGAAAAACAGCCGTAAACATCCATTAATAATAGGAACATGTAATGTATGAAGTATGAATCTAGAAAAACTGGAAATTGTAAAAAATGAAATGGAACTTTATACATAAACATTGATATCCTAGACACTAGTGAGCTGAAATGGACTAGTACTGGCCATTCTGAATCTGACAATCACATGGTTTACTATGCCTGGAATGACAAATTCAACAGAAATGGCGTCGCATTCATCGTCAAAAAGAACACATCAAGATCTGTCATGAGGTATAACGCTGTCTGTGATAGGATAATATCCATGTGTCTACAGGGAAGACCAATCAATACCACTATTATTCACATTACCCACCAATCACTAAATAAAGCCAGTGAGGATGAAACCAAAGAATTCTACTAACTTCTTCAATCTGAAATTGATCAAACATGCAATCAAGATGTATTGATCATTACTGGCAAATGGAATGCAAAGGTTGTAAACAAAGAGGAAGGATCAGCAGTTGGAAAATATGGCCTTGGTGATAGAAATGATGCTGGAGATTGCATGACAGAATTGTGCAAAACCCATGATTTGTTCATTTCAAAAAACCTTCTATTAGACAGCATAACAGACAGTTATACACATGGACCTAATCACATGTAATACACATAAATCAAATTGACTACATCTGTGGAAAGAGACTGTGGAAAAGCTCCATATCATCAGTCAAAACAAGGCTAGAGGCAAATTGTGGAACAGACCATCAATTGCTCATATGCAAATTCAGAATGAAGCTGAAGAAAATGAAAACAAGTCCACGAGAGCCAAAATATGTCCTTAACTATATCCCACCTGAATTTAGAGATCATTAAACACTAAAGACCACAGACCAGAAGAGTTGTGGGATGAAATCAAGATCATATAGGAAGGAAGAAAACAAAAAGTCATCAAAAAACAAGAAAGAGGCAAAAGAGGCAATATATACGATTTGATAAAGAAAGCAATAATGA